CCTTTTTCCAGAAAAATATCTCACCACGCGATGTATTGAAATGCATTTACAGTTATGTCGCGAAATGCTTTGAAATACATTTCGCGACGCTCATGCATTGAATTTCGAGGGCGCGGAAATGCATTTCAATACATATTTTCGCTACATGAATAACATTAGGTAGACAAGTGAAAGTTTTCTTATCATATCTTTCTGTAACCGTAGTCTGGTAGCCAACACTAAAAAGTGGTTTTCGTAGGAATGCGTTAAGAGTTTTAAACAAACAGAAGGACGAAAAAAGTTACCTTCGGGGTGGAACTGGAGGTGGAGGAGTAGTATTCGTTCGGCGTCGAGGAAGGAGAGGTGGCGGGAGGAGACTTCCTTCGTCTAGGAAGACATCTGGGGGAGGTGGAGCGAATGGACGATCCAACCCATTACTGAAAGTTGTTTTTGATCCTTAATCAGTTCTCCGTCTAAAGTTTTCTCACCTCAGAACAGAACCCGACCAACGAGGGCAGACGGGTGGTGGGACTCTGATAGGCAATCTAATTCTGCAAAAAATAAACTTACATGTGTAAACCTCATTCCAAAAAATTCAAATTTGTTAAATAATTTTCGAATTATTCAACTCTCACCTTCGGACCGATGAATTTTCATTGCCGACAAGCACATCGTTGAAATGTTCAGAACGATTGAAAACAAAAGGCAAGGTCCGAGGGATAGAGAATTCCGGGTCAGGCAACTGTGGAAGAAGAGTCTCAGGACGAAGATCCTCTCGGGACGAAGATCTTCTGAATCTTCTGAGAACTCTTCTCGTATTGATCTCAACCCTCTCACGAGTTCGTGAGATAGAATTGCCCATATTCTAGAAAATATTGGGATCCGCAGATCGCAATATCGTTGGAGGAATAAATGTGAAATCAGTAAAAATGCCAATAGCAAGCCAATGGCTATTGTGATATGAATCACGAGATTCTTCTAGAACAATTTTGAAATTTATACAATAACAAAAGAAAAAGGCTTTATGAGTCATCAAAAATGAGTTAGCAGAATAATGGCGGAATATTCGAATTTTGTTTTGTTGGTTTTCAAAATTCATTGGATATTTGCAATCCTTTTCACACCCAACCTTTCCTCATGTAGGGTAAACGCTCTAATAGAAGGGCCCCGAAATCTCTAACTTCGAGCTCATACATCTCGGCTCGTGTAAAAGATTTTTGAACGTAGTCAACTGGCAAAATGTTTATCACAATATAAAATATATTTTGTTTGTTGATTACTTTTTGATATCTTGTACAGAAAACGAAATATATGGGCTCAAACTTGAACGTTTGGGTGGATCTTTTTGTTTCTGTTCATAAATGTTCTCCGATGTCTCAATGGTGATATAATTTTTTTGATACTGATAATCTGAATAATGTGACTCCTGCTTTCTCCCAGTCTCCAGTCAAAGACCAATTCCATAACATATATTCTATTTTAACACATCTGCAACTTCTCCTCTTTTTCTTTCTCCCAAATAAATCACCTACAGTTAGTCTGATTCCATTGTTTAATGGTATTAATTTCCTGTGCCTCTCCGTTTCCCCTACTGTATCATTCACCCCCATTTTCATCAACTCGCACCTCCCGTTTTGGTCTGTTTGGGATGCTCCGCGCTAATCAGTTCAAGGCCAGTTTGCATTTCGAATTTTGCCCCTGTGAAACGATAGTATCTAGAACCCCTATCCACACTTTTCCTCTCTTTCAATTCGCAGAATATCATCATGATTAGTCTAAATTTTTCAGTTGTGGTTTTGTCGGTTAGTTTAACAAAATGCATATTTCTAGAGCAATTTCAATTTCAGATCTTATTAGTTTTAATTCCATGTGCACTCTCACTCAACTCAAATTCAATCGACTGGTGTGAATATTGGGCACGGGTTGGTAAAAAAGTAAGTATCAAAGCTCTTCGTAACGCTTTTCTTGAACAGGTCGCTGACCAAAATGAGTTTTTGAAGACCGATCGACCGGAATGTGCAGGATACGAACTACCAAGTGGCTTCAAACGAACTGGTGAGTTAAACTGAAACAGACGTAAAAACACTCTCAGTATACTTTCAGAAACCTTTTCCTGCTCCAAAACTGAAATCTACAACTGTCTGGATTGTGAACCAACTTGCCATAACCTGGTTCCTAAATGCCGCAAGGTACGACGAACGTTTGCCACCGTTTTTACGATTCGCGACACGAGAGTACAGCGTAGTGTTCAGGTAGAATGAAAACTAATCAAATGTTTGGTGTGCTGTGCTCTTGCCGTGATTTGTCTAAACTCTTCAACCTCAATCTAACCTGAACTATGTATTTTTCTTCAGGAACAATGCAACAAAGGATGTGTTTGTAAGAATGGATTGGCGAGAAATTCAGAAGGAAAATGTGTTACACTTCGGGAATGTGCTGCTCAATCTCCCCCGAAAAATGATTCTGTGAAAGTAGATGAGGAAGATGGAACTGTGATGAAAAGTTGGTTTTCAGTTGTGCTTCTTTATCAATGATAATTATATTTCAGCAGTAAAAAAGATGGTTCCTGTTATTGTGAATGATGTCTGGAAAGCTCTATTCCATTCTATCAGCACTCCAGATGGCAATGGTTCTAACAACAGAACAAAGGAGGTCATAACTCCAGTGCTGACACCCGTTGAACAAGAATCGAGAAGAGAGAATTTGGTCGTCACTGCTCCGACTGGATCAGAAATCAAGGACGAGAAACATCCACAGAAAGGATTTTACATTGATTATCCTTAACCGCCTTTGATTGATCTCCAGAAAAAAATTTTAGAGTTTCCGACAAATTGAGAAATAATGAAATTTATTGAGTAAATTATATTAATTGTTATCAATGTTTAATAAATCAATTTTTGTTTACAAGTTTGGACCCATTAATGCGACTTTTGCGTCATAACGACTGTTGTCTTGTTTAATTTGAACACGCGCGCATTTGTGTGGCCTAGCTTGCGTCTCGTGTACTCCTCTCGGGAAACGCATTAAAATTAAAATTTGCTCAAATTTTAGCCAAAAAGTTAGCTTGACCATGTCCGGACATCTAGAATATTGAAACTTTTCAGCTAGATACACACCAATGCAATGAACAATAGTATAAAATGTTTTCACGACAAGCTTCACATATTCTACAGGTTCTCCCAGCATATGTCGACCTCGTAAGTAAGATAAAACATTATAATTCGAAAAAAAAAACATATTTTGATCAAGGAGTGATGTTGCTCTCTCAACTTTACCATCTATAGAGCAAGACTCGAGGCTGGTGAGACGAGGTGACTTCCGAGGTGTGGTAGCAGGAAAAGAAAAGGTTGGCTTGTACTTCATCACATTTTTCTGAAAATAATTTTCAGATCAAAACTAGTAATCCCGATGTTATCCTTTCAAAAATTCAAGAAAACCTGCGTAAAAATTACCGAATCAGTGGAGATGTTGTTCTGTTTGACATTGTGAGACAAATGGAAAAAGGAAACGGTACATTTAAAGTTTTCCCTGATTTCTCAGCCTGATAATTTTTAGGAGACTTCAAGAATCACATCACTCGAGCGTCAGAAAGATGGATTCCGCTCATTATTCATAGTTGTGGCCACCCGTTATCAAATATCGAGAATACTTTAAAAAACGAGATTCTAGATAGACTGTGGGCACAGCTGAATACTGATAGTTTGTAACCAAAATTTATTAAATTTGGAATTTGTCTATTACAGTCGGACCGCCGCCTGTTTATGGTTGGAACGCCCGTTTCCGTGTGTTGAATGAAAATGGAACAGAATGGGATCCTGTAAAAGAATTAGATCAAATGGAAAGGGCTGGAATTGAACCCAACGTTGCAACTTTCCATGAAGTTGTTAATAGAGTAGCTGTTTCTGGAGATGTAGAAGGATTGAAGAATATGGTCTACACAATGGCACGAAAAGGATTCGCAGTGGATGCTCATATCAACGCAGCTTCTGTTTTCGCTTTTTCTATCAGAGGTCACTACAAGAAAGCTGACTCCTTATGCCAGGTTTAAACCCGAGATTGAAAATGTCAAGGATTAAACTCAATTTTCTAGCAGGCTGCAACCAAATACGGAGAAAATGGGTCATTATTGGCTCATGGAGCCGCTGTACGTGCGGCAGCTTGTCGTGGAGACAATGATCGTCTTCGACAAATCCTTCGAAAATGTATAATCGCGTCGACAACAAAGTTAGCGTTGTCAGCTGATGATATTTTAGAAACAGTTTGGCATATGGCAGAAAAGAGTAGAGATGGAAAAGGAGCAGAGTGTTCACAATTAGTGGAGCAAATGCTAAACTGTACTTCAAGAGACGAAGGATTCTTTCGAAAACTCTTCCGAGAAATCGAACGGCATATTTGTCATCGGCACTATTATACCGCGCTTTCACTGTTAGAAGACACTAAACGAGTGTCGGATTGCTTGGAGAATCAACGAAAAAGTAGTGAGTTTTGAAAATATCAGTTATTTAAGTGTAATACTGTTCGACTTCAGCCTTCCTTCACCAACTGGTTGGACGACTTTCGACACAACTCATCCGAAATCAAGAACCAGCACACCTGATTCGAGATATTGCCAATCGAGTCCATTATACATTCAACAGGAAGAACTCGTAAGAATAACATTTCAATTTCAATCTATATGATCGTTCATACTTCCAGAAACCTCCGGATTCGTATGTATGATGATCTGTTATACGCTACTTTGATGTTGAAAGATATGGATTTAGACGACAGGCTCGAGTATTTTAGAAATTTCATCGACGAAATAGACGTCAAAAGAGAGAGAATTCATATCACTTTGCCTCTGATGACAAGGTGAGCCATCAAAATATGCTTATTCGACGAAGGAAATTTTTAGCGAATCCGATGTCAACCAACGTCTCGCCATTCTTTTCCGACTCACTACAATGGGATATCGGGAATGGTCAAGCATTGAAACCGAGCCGCTCGTTCGCACGATACTCCAACCTCTCTACAGTGAGTATTATCTAGACTTCAGTTTAAAATTATATGTTTTCTCTATTTTCAGATAACGGTCGCCCGTTCCGAGATTTATCGAGATTGGATAAACTTTCGAGAGTTCTCAAAAGTTATGGCATTACGGAACGTCAAACTTGGTTGATTTTACTTCAATGGTCGAAAATAAGAGCGAAAGAGGAAAAACAAATACCAGAAGATCAACGGAGTCGACCTTTTGCCAGAGATCTAAGAGGCTGGTGTCGTGCGTACTATTCTGAAACATTTGAGACTCCAAAGGCGACACATAAGAAATCGGTGCCGATTCTTTATGAAAAACTGAAGTCATGTGTTGACCAAGGAGACATTACAAAGGTTTCTTCAGTTCTGAGCAGCAATGGTTGGCCAACGGACACTAATTTTGTTGAGATTGTTCCGTCCGCTTTGAACTTGTACTTGATGCACGAGTCATGGAAGAATGTTCATCAAATGTTGGAAGGACTATCTCCGTTTTCATGTGAATGGGATGAGGATCCTTCGAAGACGCCTATGAAGAATTATCACTTACTGAGCGTGCTCAGAAGAATGGCAGAAGAAGATGAGCAGTTATCAATCAGAGGGATTACTGACTACGCGTATGAACTCAGAACACTGTTTCCTAATGGTAATTGATTTCCAAAAAGGAATTTAATTGCGATTCTTTCAGCTTCCTGCTATTACGAAGGATTCTTCGAAACCCAAAACGAGTACAAGAAGTTATTTGCCAAATGCTTCGAACGTTTGGAACGTCAAGGATTTACACAAAACACTGTCGACGAGCTCATTGATTTCCTACGCTGTCTTGTCAAGCTAGATCTTATTCAACTGCATCCCAGTGAAACGCTCACTGTCTTCTTCATCAATATTCTTCTGAAGCGAGTTGGATGGACGGAAGCTTTGAACACGTGGCAAAAGTTTCTGTCAAGCCTCCATTGCCCCAACGGAACAGTAGCTTTGTTAAGATACTGTTTACAACAAAATTCGGATGAATCGAGGAAAAATTTACAGTTTGGTTAGCTTTCGAGTGGTTATCTTCATAAATAATATCGATTCTTCTAGTAATCCATCGTGGTGCAACATTCCTTTCTCAATCCAGGATGCGTGCAATGCATTTGGCTGTTCTGATTGGAATGCGTCGTTTCGAAGAAGCTGAAAAAACATGTGAGCAATTAACAACGGATATCGATCCCAACGACTGTCTGATGGCGATGCGCCTGATGAATGCAATGAAGGCTCGTTCTTTTGATGATCAATTCATGTTAGACTACGCGGCACTCTGTCTCCGAAAGTTAAATTTAGCCAGCAATAAAGAAGCAGCTCAAAGTATGCAAGCTGATTTACTCAGAATCTGTGGTAACGCTCGTATTTCAATGTTATTCAACACATCACTTATTGCAGACTCTCGTCATATGGGACCCACAGCTCTCCGTGTCTATGATCTTTTTTCAGAGTATGATGTAGAACTGAGGGATGAGGAGAAAAATCGGTTATCAGCAGTGATTGAGAAACACTCAAGTCTATCAAAGTGAGTACAGTACACTTGGCGATGTACTTAAATTTGTTTAATTTAAGAAAATGGATCTTCAAACCCGATGGTTTCTTGAACATCGCTGCCGATGATGACATAATTACGGGAAGCGAAGAAGCTCGAATTCAAGAGAAATTGAGAAAAGTTTCATGAAACGGGTTTGATGTTTTTCAATTTAGGGTAGTATAGCATTTCCAGATCATTGTTTTCTTTTTTTGTTAAATTGTTTTCTATTGTTGTTGAATAACTATAAAGTTCAAACGTATTTTTGTCGCATGGAGTGCATTGAGATTAAAAGAATCTGGAAAAAGTTCAGAAAACATTTCTCCCATGTCAATTACCAACAAATCAGTGATCATTAGATTCTTAGCTTTCAATTTGTGACAGGTGAAATCGAGAGGTTGGCCACAGTGATTGTCTTTTGCAGTCTCATTCACTAGTTTTCTTTTCAACATCCTAATGACCACCAATTATTTAGTACAGGAATACTATCTTTCCAACTACATCCGTTGTCCGAAAAATGAAGGGTTATTGTCGAGTTGGGAATCACTTGCTTATCCTTCCCATCTATTTATGATCATGCTGATGCCTCTTTATATTTTTGGTGGTTACTGTATTTTGTATAAAACACCGAACTCTATGAAGCCTGTTAAATGGCCATTGTTCAACTGGCATGTCTGGTGAGATTCATTATATTTACCGTATTTCCTCTATCACGAACCCGACGTTTCAGAACTCGACGTTTCAGAGCTATTCTGCAGTTTGCTTGCTGGTTTTTACCAAATAAGTTTTTTTGGAGTATAGTAGAGGAAAACGAATGAAAAAGCAGAAAAACAAAAAATTAAAATGAAATTCATTCAATGAATTGGTGTGCATTTGGTGTGCAGAAACCACCATGCAAAAATGTAGAAAAGTTCTGAAGCGTCGGGTTCTGAAACGTCCAGGAGCCTCAAATTTGACCTCAATTTTCTCGATTGCTGTGAAAGATATCAAAAATTTGTCAACTGATAAATTATTCATCATAATATCATACATATTCTATCAGTTGACAGCTTATTTATATCTTTCACAGGACTCAAGATAATTGAGTTTAACGTTAACGGTCCGGGTGAGCTTCTATTAAAGGGGGACTCCGACCAAAAAATTTTTATTGCCTTGAAATGTTTCAAAAATATGTATTTTCATTGAAACGCGTTCCCTTTTCCCTCTTCTCACGCGTTTCATAAAGGGGCGTGTCACTTTGCAATCTGCGGCGCGCCCACGTTTTATTGAATAGACAATAGTATTGTTGCGAAAAAATTCAAAAAAAAATCCTATATCCCCGAAAAACGGCATTGAAAAAAATAGGATTTGAATTCCCGCGCAGTAAGAAACCTAGGCCACGGCATCATATTATTCTTGTGCAAAAAATTGGAGTTGTGGCCGAATTTTCACACAAGTTAGGCCACCGTATTTCAAGGAGAATTTTCGAAAACACAGCCGGCAAACGAGTGCTACCGCAACCCAACAATAAATATTTTCGCAAAATCTTTATCTTATTTTTTTCCTTTTTATCGATTTTTCTCAATTTTTTC